TCTCTACACCGTTCTTGCCAGTCTCACTCCAATTAAAATACCCTCCCCTCCTTTACCAAGGCGAAGGGATTCATGAGTTTTAAGTTTATACATCATATCATATCATACTTATGAAAAAAATGAGTTTGAAAAAATCTTTCTATGGTCAATTTTACTCCTAATCCTTTTGGATATTACATTCTAATTTTATCTTAATATATTCAAATAATTTAACGATAAAATCTTCAACCAAAATTTAATTTTAAAAGAGATCAAAATAGTGAAACTACTTTACTATCATATTAAAAGATAAAATGTATTCAACTAATTCTATCTTCTTACGAATTCTCATTAAATTAAAACTATTCATATCCATTACTAGAAATTCCTATTCACAAAAAAGTAGAAAATTTTGATAATCAAATTTTTGTTAATTCTAAACAAGTTCTAACTATTCATTATTAAAAAAAACAAAAAAAAATATTTATTTGTCCCTCCTTAATTATTTTAAAAAGTGAATTTCAATGAACCTATCAGAACTTTAAATTGAGCATTAAACTTCTAAAATATCTATAATTCTCATCAAGTCCTTAGTAAGTTAGATAATTTTAAAAAGCAACCAAAATATTTTGAATTTTTGCACTTAATTTTCGAAATGACGTTACCCTAAAATTTCACATTGGCTATAAAATTAATCCTCAAGGATAGTATATTACCCTCAAATCGATCTTATTTGCAAGTTAACCCATAAATTGATAAGTAGCCCAAAAAATAGGAAAGATTACGAATAGCTACTAAAAATTCTAAAATTACAAATAATACTAAAAAAAATTTAAAAGCTACAAAAAACATATAGGCTCCTAAAAATTAAAATTATAAAAAAACCCTTGACAATCTTAAAATTGAAAAAAATACTTTTAAAGTTCTAAAATAATGAATAACACACAAAAATTCATAAATTACATAGAACTTCTTTAAAAAATGCAAACAACCCTTTTAAAATAAAAAAATTATAAACAACCCTTAAAAATTCAAAATTTCAAACAAACATGCGAAAAATATGAAAATTATAAAAAATCCCATAAAAAGTAAAATATTACAAATAGGATCCTAGAAATGTTAAATTACAAACAGCCCCCTAAACCTCCTAATAATAATAAATTGGCCCCTTAAGTTAGAAAACTACAAAGAAACCCTGAAAAGATTACAAAAACTTAAAAAATTATAAAAAGTATAAACAACCTCAAAAAAATCAAATATTAGGCACAAACCCTTCTAAAATCTAAAAACTACAGTTAACCTCTTGAAAATTCTAATAAATACAAACAAATCTCTAAAAAAGATCTGAAAATTATAAATGAACGTTATTTTGAAAAATTGTTGGGGCTTAAGTAAAAAAATATAAAATTTATTAGGTTATTGGGGTGTATTTTGGTCATCTGACTACGCATAAATTAATAATATTAATTTTGAGAATTTTCTGCCAAAAATTATTGGACGTTTAGTTAGAGTTTTAAAGATATTTGATATTTAGTTCCAAATAGTAAAATTAATGGGAGCTTAGTGAGATTTACCTTTATGTTAATTTTGAGGGTTTCATGAATTTGAAAAAAAAAGCTAAAAAATCTTAAAAAGTGAAAAAGACTCTTAACATTCTAGAATTATAAATAATCCATAAAAAATTTATAAGTTATAAACAACATATGCAAAATTTAAAAAGTACAAACAACCTCCTTTCAAATTTAAAAATTAAAAAACAAACCCCTAAAATTCAAATTTCAAAAAAACACATGAAAATATGAAAATAACAAAAAATAAAATAAAAATAAAATATAAAAAATAGCATTCTAAAAAATTTTAAATTGTATACAGCCCCCTAAAAATCTAAAAAAATCATAAACAAACCCTTTAATTTAGAAAATTACAAAGAACCATCAAGAAAAATACTAAAAAATCCAAAAAATATAAAAAGTACAAACAACCCCCAAAAAATCTATAATAAGAAGCAAATCTCCTAAACATCTAAAAATTATAATCAACCTCTTGAAAATTCCAATAATTATGAAAAACCTCTAAAAATCTTAAAATTGTAAACATCCGATGTTTGGGGTTTTTTGCCAAAAAATATTTTAGGTTAAGTGACAAAATGTAAATTTATAGGGTTATTAGGGTAACAATGTTAGCTTTTAGGGCATAGAGTGAGAAGAGTTCATAGTGATTTCTTAAATTTTCAAACTTGAGGGGGATTGTCTATATTAAGCTCAAATTTGAGGGGGCTTCTCAAATTAAAATAGTTGAGGGGGTTTTCGTAGAGAATCTCTATATTTGATGTGAGTTAAGTGAGGAAAGTTCAATGGATTTTTTCAAAGTTTCATAGTTCAGGGGGGTTATCTACAATATGCTTAAACTTGAGGGAGTTTCCTCATATTAAAATAGTTAAGGGGTTTTTTATAAAATTAATTCATTATTTTTAGATATGATATTATAAAATCTCATTAAGTAGTGATTATAAGATTTTATTACAAAATTCCCCTAAAATTATCACTTTTGGAGTGGTTTCCTAATAAAAATCTCAAAGTTAAATGAGTTTTCTGATAACCCCTAAAATGTAGTGGACTTTTTGATATTTTTAAAGTTATGCGGGATTATCCGATTGTCATCTAAAGTTAAGGAAGTTCATTTGTTGATATTTAGCATTTAAAATTTTTACTTTATTTGCATAGCTATCTACACTAAATATGAGATATATCATTTGCTTAATAATTTACTATATCAAATAGAAAAAATACAATATTTAACTATAAGCAACCAACTCAGTTGAAAAGGTTTATTTTTATTTTTTTATGACTGAAAAAAGTAATTTGAAAAGTGAAAACTTAGATATTTAGGCTTTTGAAATGTTCGATGTGCATGTTAAGACAAAGAAATTATGCATCTAAAATTATTCAAATAAGGGCTCTTAATTTAAAACTAAATTCTAACTTAATGCATTTCATTTTAAACATTTTATATTACTAATGTTATACTTTATAGACATGCACGAAAAATGGTATAAATTAGTTTTAGTAACATTTAAGTTCTTTTGATGTTTTGATCATGAGATGTTCAATATATATTATTTTAAAATATTTAGGGTCATCACCAATTGCAAGTTTTTGAAATGTGCAATAGGTATGTTACTTAAAAATAACTATGTAGGTATAACTACTTAAATATGTGTTGTTTAAGTTTTTTGATATTTTATTATGAGATATTCAATATATATCATTTCAAAAGAATTTTGATCTTCACCACTTGCAATTATTTCGACAGACTTGAATTAGAATGACTAGATCCCATCAAAGTAACACTAGCCACTACGTACTAATAAATAGAGATGAATCCTAATAAAAACTATAACTGAGGTAGTTGAGCTTAAAAAGTTTTGAATTACAAGAGAAATCGAATGAAATCGAGAAGGATCTTCAAATAAATAGGAATCTCATGCTCATTAAAAAAATTAACATAATTTAAAGGCATGAACAAATCTCCAATTACGTGAAATTGTCAAAGTTAGCTATAAAGTAATTTTATGTCTCCAAAAATAAAAAGTTATTCTACCAAGAAAAACATACATAGTAGCATAAAATATATTAATTAGTCATTTCATAGCTTGCTTTGACAATCTAGAACATAAACATATAGAAATAATAATATTATCTTGGAAAAATTCTCATAGTTAAGATCCATGGTTATTGCTATATGATCTTTCCTTAGGAGCCTATTAGCCTCATGAGATATAACATTAAAGTGGAAATTAATTATTAAAATTATAAAGGGTATAAAATACTGTGAATTCGTGCAAATTATATGATGAAAACATAGGATTGCGATGAAAATAAAATTATTTGCATAAAAATTATTTTCTTAATAAAAGGATCTTGACCTTCATATACTATTTATTGTAAATTGTACTTAATGTTAATTGACCGTGTAATTTTGACTTTGGTTATGGTAATTTTAATACTTTTGATTAACTATATAGTATATAGACAATAAATTATTTTATTTTTTCACGTGAAATTAAAAGAAATATTTCACAACTATAAGTAAGAAAATAGAAAAAAATAATGATATTTAACCACATGCAATGCGCGTGCATCCAATCTAGTATCAATTAAAGCTAGATGTAACAGTTTTAAAAAGTTGAAGGTAACAATTATTAAGAGTAGATGAAAACTATAAGGATTTAGATTCTTTCCAATTAGGTAGTAACCGGAGAGTCTCTAATTTCTTCAGTCATTATCGTACATTCTAAATTTAATAGACAAGATTATGCCACGTAGGCCTTCT